TCAGCCTAGCTCACAGCAACCTCAAACTCCTGGGCTCAAGCGATCCCACTGCCTCAGCCTCCCGAGTAGCTGGGACTACAGACATGTGCCACCATGCCCGGCTAATTTTTTTTTCTATATAGATTTTTAGTTGTCCAAATAATTTCTTTCTATTTTTTAGTAGAGACGGGGGTCTCACTCTTGCTCAGGCTGGTCTCGAACTCCTGACCTTGAGCGATCCACCCGCCTCCGCCTCCCACAGTGCTAGGATTACAGGCGTGAGCCACCGCGCCCGGCCCACATTTACTGTGTTTTGCATACTATTCAGTGTATTTCATACACATTGCCTCATTTAATTAACACACAATAGATGTTACTATTAATTTAGCGATAGCCCCGCATGGTGGCTCACGCCTGTAATCCTAAGCACTCTGGCAGGCTGAGGCGGGAGGATCTTTGAGATCAGTTGTTCGAGACCAGCCTGAGCAAGGGCAAGACCCTGTCTCTACTGAAAATAGAAATACGATTAGCTGCGTGCGGTGGCACACGCCTGTAGTTCCAGCTACTTGGGAGGCTGAGGCAAGAGGATCGCTTGAGCCCAGGAGTTTGAGGCTGACGCCACGGCACTCTAGCCCGGACAAAAGAGTGAGACTCTGTCTCAAAAAAAGAAAAAAAATAGTGATAGGATTGTAGAGGTATTGGAGGAGAAGAAACTGAGGTACCTCAAGCATGAATAACTTTTTCAAGGTTGCAGGATTTGAACCCAAGACTACCTGACTCTGATTTTTGTGCTCTCCTCATCACACTACACCACACATTCTCCCAGGATTATAATTAGGGCAAGGTTGTAGATCATACATTTGTAAATATTTTTGCAACTTCCCTTTTCAGATATTCTGATAATTTCTCATGATATGTGTGTGTGTGTATGTGCATGTGTATAGTCACTCTAATTTCAAAGAGTGGTGTTTTACTTCTTTCAATGTGTAAATCAAAGATACAGGCCAAGCCTATAATCTCATGCCTATAATCCTAGCACTTGGGAGGCCAAGGTGGGGAAATCACTTGAGGCCAGGTGTTGGAGACCAGCCTGGGCAACATAGCAAGACCCCAACTCTACAAAAAATAGAAAAATTAGCGAGGCATGGTGGCATGTACCTGTAGTCCCAGCCACTATGGAGCCTGAGCCTGGAGGATTGCTTGAACCTAGGAATTCAAGGCTGCAGTGAGCAGTGATTGCACCACTGCACTCCAGCCTGGGCAACAGAGCAAGACTCTGTCTCAAAAAAATAAATAAATAAAAAATTTT